CACAGTTGTGTGCCCATCGTTGCCCGTAGGTCCTTAGGTATCTTGTTGCTTTCAAGGATCTTCCGGGTTTGCACGAGCCTAGCGTCATGTTGAAGACGTGCCAGATGGAAACTAACAGCAACCGGGGTTAGGAAAAGCCATGAGGCCAGAGTGGTGTTGATTCAGAGTTCTGGTTGTAGTTCTGTGATACATGTTGCAGGGTATCAGAGAGCACTTCATGCATCTAGATCCCGTTCCAGGAATAGCGTGGGAACTTCAAGATGGTTGACCCCCCGCAAAAGAGACTGCCTTTAAACAGGAGGCCAACATGGAATCGGGGGTCCAAAGCAGTTTCTACTCTTGAAGACTCCGAAAGGAGTCTCAGCTTGGAGCATTCAGTGACTCAATGTCCGACCCAAGGAATATCAGACACCGTTGGCAGACACCATTGATCTAAGCATTGCATGCACTGCCCTTTCTGGTTCCATGATTTCTGTTTGGCAATTGCAGGATTGTGTGCTATATCCTGAGTCATGGTCACAAGAGAGGGCAGCTAGGACTCCGTGTGTCCTGAGCTCCAGATGGCTTCGTGCTTGTTTGCATTCGGACTTTGTGGCAGAGCCAAGCCTACGACTGGCTGGTGAGTGAGTTTCCAACCAAAGAAAACGACGCCTCCGTCTTTGAGATGGATGCTTTCCTTTGACAGGTCTTCGTTGAGACTGAGTCTTGGCTGGGCTCCTGGAACCACACCTCGGGTGGTGGCATCTTGACCCTTAGGGATACCAAAAACAAATTGACCAAATCACCACATGGGAACAGTTGCCCATGGTAATTTTGGGGCCGAAGGCAATATTGTTTCTGCCTAATTTATAGCGAGCTTAAGTTGGGGGTATAACAAAGCTCATCATAAAGGTGCTTCGCTTGGGGATCCCTTATTTCAGAGTTGGGAACTAGAGTCGTGTGCTACCAGCTGCTAGCACCGCAATAGCGCGGCTGGCAGACTCAGATGGTTATGGCAAGGAGAAAGAAGAATAAGACAAGGTTTGGGAACTTTTTCTAAAATCTGCAGATTGATCAACCCCATCTGTCTCTGCAAGGTTCAAGCGATCGGTGATTTGCACTGCGGTCTACATGCTGTGCCTTGGCCAAGCGAGGCAATGCCCAAAGCAAGTCGACCTTTTGACCTTTTAGTTTCCCCTTTTTGGTCCATAGTCATGGCTCCAAAAGGTTGACCTTAAATTTGTTGGGCCCTGTGGGCCAGGGAGTTTTTGTTAAACTACAGATGAGGCAAATCTCAGAATCGAGCCTCCATGTGGTGAATCGATGGTGACTCATGCTTTTGTCTGGGGTAGACTTAGGATACATTTTACATTGTGCCCGTGACTCAAGGTGAAGCAAACAATAAAATATACTACCTATAACTGGGCCTAACTCTAATAATCATGTTGTCCCCAAGTAACCAAACCAGCAATCAGAACCGAAGCACGTGGCAGCGAGCCTCCCTAGGGCCCCCTAGTTGCAGCTTCTCCACGGTTTTAAACAGCTGTATGGCCCAATTAAAATGTAGGCAACCCTGTGACAAATGCTCCCTCTCATAAGCCCCTTAGAGTCTCATAGCATTAGAGGAAGTTCCCTTGCACAATCCACATGGCAGAGGGATGCCGTCCCTTCCATTTGGATGCTCCTGCGGACGTGGGAGCAAGCACCCACTTATGAAATGAGGACTTTCATGACTGGTGGCGGGTTTCTCAGGTTGCCACACCTGTGGTTCAATCCAAAGCACCGACTTTGATCTACGGGCGCGGCCTTCTGAAGCAGGCAGAATGCAGTTAGCAGGTAGATAATCCCCATCACCTAGACAGCTTGCAAAGCTGACCTCAGCACTCACCATGGCGCCCACTGGTCTTTTTGAAAGGTTGGTTGGCAGTCGAGGTACATATGGGAATCGGCTCATGTCCAGTTTGCTCAAGTTGGGCTGCTGAACCCTTTCACGCGATATCACATGATCCACATGTGCGCAAAGGCAATCGTTGAACCATTTAACTTCCCCAGATTTAGCTCCCCTTTTTGTTTTGTTTTGTTTTTGTTGCTTTTTGGGGTTCCCTTTGTTTTCACTACCAGGCAAGAGATATCATTTTCTGCTGGGGTCCTGATTCCAGCCAAGTTAATGTTTCTTGGTTTCTCTATCTTGGGACCCACTAGCTTCAACTCAATTTCCGGGTCAGATCGCCGGCCGCTTCGCGTGCTGTGGAGTCTGGTGTTCGCCCCGTGACACGTACAGGTGTACTGATGCGAGGGGTAGAATTAGGTGTGCCGCGGGACCTTAAATACATCCCCCCTTCAGTTCCCCCCTAAGCCAGCCTCGGTTGGTCTTATTTGGTCTTATTTGGGCTAAAATTGCCGCAATGCTTCTTGACGGTTTGGGGAGGCATCTTTGGTCCGGGGTCGGGGGTCTCGAATAACAGCATCACCGACTTCCGGAAGACCCGCATGAGGCCGGAGAGTCAGATTGCAGAGCTCC